TTTGGTCTTTTTGAGACAGGGTCTCCCTGTAGCCCCTGCTGTCCTGGAACTCACTATGTAGACCAGGCTGGCCTTGAACTCACAGAAATCCACCTGCCTCTGCCTCCTGAGTGCTGGGATTAAAGGCGTGCGCCACCACACCAGCCCCCACATCTTTTAATATCAGAACGAGTGAATGTTGTTTTAAGCATATGCAGAGCTCTACAACCACAAGAATTTAAGAAAATTTTCATAAACCTCAAAAGAATGAACATACCTTTGAATTCCTTTCCCTTCCATTTTCTCAAGTCACCTAATCCAAGGCAACCAATAACCTGCTTTGTCTCTATAAGTCACTTATGCTAGAACTTTTCTATAAATCAAATCACATAATATTCCTTTAGAAATCCATTGTGATAGGCTTCTTTCACTTTGTATGCTATCAAGAATATTCTGTTACGGCATATATTACTACCTCACTCTTTTTCACTGAAGAATAAGTTTCCATTCCATTAACTAGATTTTACTAATCAACAACTGGATATTTGCTTTGGTTTTCTGCTTAAAATAAACAGCATTGCTATGAATACTGATACACAAATGCTTTGTGGATAATTTTCCCTTCTCTTTAAAAAATATTTTATTATACAATGCCCGTGGATGTCAGAAGATGGCTTCTGATCCCCTGGAACTGGAGTTATTAGCAGCCATGTGAGTGCTGGGAATCAAACCCGGGTCCTCTGCAAGAGCAGCCAGTGCTCTTAACCACTGAGCCATTTTTCCTGTGCTTCCATTTCCTTATTGTAATGTGGGAATGGAATTAATGGGTCATATGGTAACTCTAGGTTTTGAGGCTTTCTATTTGATTACCTCCTAAAACCTAATTAAATGCGTGTGTACATACCAGCTTCAAGTATTACTTGGTTTAAAAAATTAGTCCAAAAGAACATTTGCCAATCTACTTTTATTTACTGTGCAAAAGAAAATTTAAGAAGAACTGCTAATTTTGTTAAATTTTCCAGTAGGAATTTAAGAGGCTATCTTCCTCCACCTAGACCAAGTGAAAAGCTGTAATATCTCCCTCACCCCACTTCAGTCTTGAATTATTAAAAGTTAAGAATGAAGTTCCTGAAAAAAATACGAAATAAAATAATTGGCTCAAAATTTTAAGGTTCCCTTTAAATTAGCAACATATGTTCATTTCAGCTTTGTCATTTCACATTCTTTGTGAAATTGATTCTAAAATGTTAGATAAATTCACTACATTTTAATGGGAATTATATTCAAAACCATATTACATGATAAAGATCATGTTACTATGTTTAAATGACCCACTGCCTTCTTTTAAAGTATTTATCAATATTTACGAATAAAATACCCAACCTTGAATATTTTTAATTATAACTATATTTTTACAGTAGTTAAATGAAATGTGGGTTTTTTAATAACTAAGGAATTTTCCTTTTCCAATGTTAGAAACTGGGCTACCTTACTAATCTTTCTTTTCATTTTCTCCCTTGATAAATGATTCTACTTTGCAAACAGCAGCTGATAGAGAATTAAAAGAAAAAAAAAAAAGAACTAGAGTAAAATGTGGAATGGAAGCAGAGAAAAATTTCCAGTAACCTAACAATGACTTTCAAGCAATCTATACTTATGAGGCTGAAAATGTGAGAGTACAAACATTTGACTCGTATCATAAAACTACCAAGCTTCATTAACGGAAAATAAATGAAGGCAGGTGTGTAAGCGGAGTCACAACTGACAAAGACACAATGCTGATGTATGACAAAATAAAACTATCATATCAAAAGGACAAAATGGGCTGCCTGAAAAATCAGTTCAACAGACCTACTGATGAGCAAAGCCTCAGCTATCCAGGCCAGGGTTTGAATATAACTTTATAGTCTCTTCATTTGTCCTTTCTTACTTATTCTAAATGAATTCTTTTGTAGATATGATCTTTCAGTCTTCAGAACTGCCAGGGAAGTAGCTGGGGCAAAATTATTAGGATTCTCATTGTTCAGATGAGGAAACAAACCCAGGCCCAGAGTCGTGCAGGTAATAAAGAGAAACTGAGGGTAGAGCCTAGTCCTCTACTTTGGTAGCACGCCATTTGTCTTTACAGCAAACAAAAATAAGCTCAGGCAGGATGAGAGTTAAAAACAAATCATGCGCCTCCACCGGGTGCACGGGACTGGGCAGGACTCTTCGCTTGCAATGCCTGGCAGCTGCCAGCTCTCACTTCCGCTTTAGATCCACTGTCAGTGGAGCTGGTGGATGTGCAGCAATAACACGTCTGCCCAACCCGCAGCCCACCATCGTTCCTGCCGCGGTTATTTTCCTGCACCAACTGGGAGATACTGGGCACCGATGGGCAGAAGCCTTTGCAGGTATCAGAAGTTCACACATCAAATACATCTGCCCACATGCGCCATTTAGGCCTGTTACATTAAATATGAATATGGCTATGCCTTCTTGGTTTGGTGTTATTGGACTTTCACCAGATTCCCAGGAGGATGAATCCAGAATTAAACAGGCAACAGAAAATGTAAAAGCTCTGATAGAATAAGAGGTGAAGAATGGCATCCCTTCTAACAGAATTATTTTGGGAGGATTTTTCTCAGGGAGGAGCTTCATCTTTATACACTACTCTCAACACAAAGCAGAAGTGGCAGGCGTGCTCAGCTGCTGGTTTCCACTGCGGGCTTCGTTTCCACAGGGTCCTATCAGTAGTGCTAATAGATATTTCTATTCTCCAGTGCCATGGATTGTGACCCTTTAGTTCTCCTAATGTTTGGTTCTCTTACTAAAAACATTGGTGAATCCAGCCAATGTAACCTTCAAAATCTAAGAGGGCATGACGCACAGTTCATGCCAGCAGGAAATGATGGATGTCAAGCAATTCATTGATAAACTCTTACCTCCAATTGATTAACTTCACTGAGAGGCCTTGTGTAGACTACACCAGCATCATTGTAGTAGAGTATAAATCTTTCCCCATCCCTGATCTTAAAACTTCTGTTTGCAGTGTTAAAATGTTTTGCAAATACATATCAATGATACAGACTAAATGATGTCCAATGGGAAATTTATGATCTTTTAAGTTTCTATTCATACATTTGTATAATATAATCCAGAATATGCTAGTATTAAAGTAGATGAAAGTTAACTTCTCTTTCTCAAATGTAATTCAGCAAAATATTGCAACCAGAGTTTTTATTACATCATTTAGAAATTACTATTATGCTTAATGAAAATTTGTTCAGACATAAACGAGCAATTAAGATATAGATGACTTGTTAATGCTGTGACTTAGACTGGATTTACTCCACAATTGCTTAGTCACCATGCAGTATCTGCATTTTCATGTATGTATTCATATATACATAACTGTAATACATAAGAATTAGATGGTATTAAATTATTCCTAATACTAGGGATAATACTTATCAGTGTCAAAAAGAGAGAATATTGCTCTCAATTAATGGCCCTTTTATTGGGGGATCTGAATTTTCTTTTCTATGATACTTCTATTTAATATTTTTTCACTTTTCAAGAAACAAAGATATGTTTGTTCTTCCATAGTAGACCGAATACTGCCTCTCTATCATAGAAATCTGTCAATATATACTCTGATTTGGCATTCAGAATCACAGATATGTGGTATTTAAAATATAGGTACACTTTAAGAGACCAAACGTTACTTAAGCTTACTGTACTACATACTTCAAGTAAGTGTACCATAGTCCAAATATAGACCTATAGTTATCAGAATCTTCAATCCAGATAATAATTCTTGTTTTATTTTTCTGTAAACAACTAAAAAGTTAAATCATATGTTGGCATGTCCAGAAATAAAAGTCCGGTTTAAAAAATCTAATTTCTAAAACAATTAGGTCTCTGCTGCAGAGTTTGTTTACATTTTCTGTACCTCTGTTTGAAAATAACTGCTGTCCAGAGTGACCCACCCATTAAAAACTTTAGGTTTATTTTTAGCTGCCAACAAATGAAATTTGATATTTTCATTTTAGTTAAATGTTTTAAAAATTAGTCTCCTGGGTTTGGAGAGATGGCTCAGTAGTTAAGAAGACTGGTTGTTCTTGCAGAAGACCAGGGTTCAAATCGCACCACCCACATGGCAGCTAACTGTCCGTAACTCCAGTTCCAGGGGATCTGACGGCCTCTTCTGTCCTCTGTGGGCATTGCACGACATGGGTGTACTTACCTACATGCAAGCAATACACACATACACATAAAAAAGTAAAAATAATAAATACTAAAAATTAGTTTCCCGTGTAAACATTAAAATAGGAGTCATTTGATCTTAAATTGTCAAAATGTCCAGAATACTGGTAACTTTATTAATTAAAGTTAACTAGAATCCTTATACATATGGTATAGTACCACACAGTTGAATATACATATTCAAAAGTTATGGTGATTTCTGACCTGTTAATTTTCCTGCTGTATTCCAGCTGACCAAGACGATGTTAAGGATGCATCTTTGTAAATGGGTGCTGACCAATACGGAGATAATTTAGTAATGGATTAGATAAGATAGTAACAATGAAGCCATATGTTTATGTCTGTATTTAAAACTTTTTAAAACAATCATAGACTGTTTCGCTTTATCTTGAAGAACACAAAATGATTTCATTTATTCATATCAGAAAGGTATTATTTAGGGTATAAATAGTCCATTGAATTGTGCTGTATCATGGGAAAATGTACTGCTTTTCATGATTTCTATCAATGTGAAATAAAATTTAAATCTGGCTAAAAATAAAAACATAAATCCATGTGCCCATTAGTAGCACAAACAACTTTGTTATCCACTTAAATCTACATGATAACAAGCTAAAAACTAGTGTTCCAATTATTGTATTAGTGCATTAACAGAAATTCCAGTAAGAAAAAATTGTCATTTAAGAAGGGATAATACATGTATTCTAGTAAAACAATTTTTAATAAGCTAAAGAAGGGAAAATATTGTAAGAAGCTAGAGCGGTTCAGTCCCAGCACTCAGGAGGCAGGGGCAGATGGATCTCTGGAGATCCAGGTCAGCCTGGTCTGCAGAGCAATTCTAGGCCAGTTGGCTACAGGGAGACCGTTTCAAATAGGCAAAAAAACAATCCACACTAAGAGTTAAAATAATTATCTGACAGTTTGCAAATAAGTTAGAGAGCAAAATCTCTATCTATTCTTAGAACATTTCTTCACTTCCACCTAGAAAGACTTTCAGATATCTTATAGGATGTTACATTTTCTATATTAATATAATTTCCCAAATCATGTTTTCTTTCTTTTCCTTTTTTTTTTTTTTATCTTGGGCTGGAGAGATGGCTCAGAAGCATTTTTTTTTTCAGAGGACCAGGGTTCAACTCCCAGAACCCACATGAAGCTCATAACCACTTGTTACTATAGTTTGAGGGCATCTGATACTCTCAACTATTTAGGTACCAGGCACACGCATGGTGCACATACATGTATACATACATTTAAACACACAACAAATAAATATTTTGTTTCTTATTATATATGTGGTGTGCACATGTGTATGTGTTGGCATATGTATGGGTGCCAAACCATGTCTTCTGTTGTTAGTTAATTCACCTAAGCTCCCATTGCACTTTAGAAATATTTACCTGATATTTTTAAAGTTTAGTAAAAAAAAGTTTGTATTAATGAAAGAATGAAATAAGATAAAATCATATATAAATAGGCTTATACAACCAACACAAAAAAATGATTTGTTGTACAACTAAACAAAAGGTATGCCAAGAATGGTGTCTCATTGTTGTAATCCCAACACTAGGAAGACTAAGGTAGGACGATCAAGAGTTTGAGGTTAGCTTGGGAATATACAGTGAGTTGAGGACAGTCTGGTATATGTAGTGAGACAGTTTCTCAGAGAAAATAAGATATAATATGACATCCTAATTTTAAATGTAATAGTTAAAAAACAGAGAAGACAGCTTAATTTACATAGGAAAAGGTTTATAATTATTGAAAAATTTAAGAGAAACTTAAAAAAAAAAAGAGACAAAATGCCTTAGAATGCCATATACTTTATGTAGCTTCTCACTATTAAACTGTTTTTAAACTCCTGATTTTAAAAGAAAAATTATATTTAGATAAAACTGTAAATAGTTTTTATAAAAGTAAGACGCATTTGGGACTGGAGAGATGGGTCAGTGGTAAAGAGCTGTTCTTGCAGACGATCTGGGGCTCGAATCTCAGCACCCATAAGGCAGCTAAGAACCATCCATAACTCCAGTTCTAGAGGATCTGATACCCTTTTCTGTCCCCTATGGGCACTGCAGGACACGGGTGCACTTACACACAGGCACAACCCTTATACACATAAAAGAAAAATAAATAAATAAAAATTAAAAAAAGCATTTTTTTTAAAAAAGAGGCATTTGTAAAAAGAAAAGAAAAAATTGCAGATGAACTTAACAGAAAACAGAAAAACAAAACAAAACAAAAATATTCAAAACTGAGACTTAAGGAAAATTATTCATCTTAAAGTGTTTAAATACACTTTAAACTTCAGGCGGTTCTTAAAAGGATAACATGAAAAGGCCTTGAGTATTATAGAACATGAGGCACACACCTCAAAATCATCTGAAGACCCACTAAAATGACAGAATGAAGGAATAAGACATCAAAATTTATGGTGACAAAGGAAGTAACTATGATAGCAATAAGGAAACTAAATGCTATTAAAGAAAACAATTTTATTTTACTTTTTCTCCCAGTGCATAATTATGAAATGTATCAAGGAATAAGATAATTAGAGGCCAGATACAAAATTAAATAAATTTTCTCATACAATACTATAAATTACATATGTCTCAGAAGAATACCAATCAAGATAGGAAACACAATAGAACGAAATAATATAATCTTTTTGGAAAACTACATCAAATAATAAAAATCTCTTTCCTGGTCTTATTTGGAAGAAACTATTATTAAATTAATAAGCCAATTTTCAGTACTGCTAGGTGAGTGAACAAGTAGCCTGTAAGGTCACTGGAAGAAAAGAAGGAATTCAGACCAGAGCTCTGAAGGCCTCAGGTAGAGTACACATTCTGAGTTCTCAATTTGTAAGTACATGAACTATTTACCAACATGGAATGGGAGGAGACAAGCAAGAATACTGCTTGCACTAGCCAAATGGCAGCATTTGAAAAGGAGCAGAGGGAGGAAGTAATCTAAGAAACTCGACAACTTGAATCTTTGCATGATTTTGCGAAGAACTTTGTATGACATTTTTCTTTTCCTCATTCCCTTTACCTAATTATGACCATTTACCATAAGATAAATCATTTACCTCAGTGAACTGTTTTCTCATCTGCAAAATTTAAGAGACTAAATACTGTATCTCAATAATCTCACTTCATTTACCTATGTCACTTAACTACTATAATCAGGCTAATAATAAGCAATCAGGTGCGGTAGTGCAAGCCTATAAATCCCAGATCTTGGGAGATGGAGGCAGGAGGATCAGGAATCAAGTAAAGCTCAGCCACAGATTAAAATCAAGGCCAGTCTGGGTTACAGGAAACCCTATTTCAAAACAAACAAATACAAACAAACAAACCTCACCCAAATTCTAAAGACAATCAGCTAAAGAGAATTAGGAACCCTCTGGTGTATGTTCCAACTTCTATTAATGGTTTAAAAGAAATCTATATAGATACAAAATTTTAAAATTTACAAATGCCTAAAAATATAGCATCTATGCAAGTACTCAAATGTTCCCTACATGAATGGTAATATGATTACTGAAAGAATAGTAACCCCTTCTCTGTAGAACAAGGCCATAACTACCTCATCTGAAAGCTGAAGCAAGAATAAATGAATTAATGATGGACAAAATAATGGACAGTTAATAAACACATAATTCACATTCTTTTTACAATGTTGATGCTAAAATTTTGCCTCTAGTATAAAAATATATTTAAAAGACCTACCACTTTGTTAACCATCTCCATATCACACAGATTGTCCACTAAAATTCGACATGCTTCTTCTTTACCCCAATGAGCTGCAGCATGAAGAGGTGTCCAGCCATCATAATCTTTAATATTAACATCATAGCCTGCCTGTATTAAAAGTCTAGAGAAATTACAGTGAATTAGACAATCATTAAAATCTAGAAATTAACAAAAACTATCAATCGATAGCATTCTACCATGCAACTTAAAGTTTGCAATTTAATTCTTTCAGACTTCCAGTACCCCCCCTCACTGAATTAGCTAGGGCAAAAATAAAGCAATTAAAAAAAAAAAAAAACCCACTCAGGATCTTGAGTCATTGCCATAATGTAGTTTTAATTAATCCCTAACAATCCTAATTCTTTTGGTTTGGTTGACACTGATTAATTCTTGTTAGTATCATTTGCTGAAAAGCCAGAAGTTTTCAAGGTAAGATCAAACACAATGTAAAAATTTGCATATAAACTGATTACTGCAGAACTATCTTCAGGTATCCATATGATACATTATCTCAGGCCAAGTGAACTCTAAAAATATACTGAAATCAAGCAAGCTTATTTTGTAATGTTTAGTTGCCTTGCATTTAAGAAATGGTTTATGAAAGCTTTTATGAACCTTTATGATCTAGTATTGAAAATTTAAAGAAAACAACAATCTGACTGTTAGGAACAAACAAAGCGAAACATATATTCCAAGATAGAGTCTATTTTTCTGCAGCTGTCGAAAGGCTGATATTCCAGTCATCAACAAGCTATAAAACAGGAATAAATTTTAATACAATGCAAAAAGTTACATAAATTAGCATGCTGTTCTAACTGGATATTGACATCAACCTTTATTTGATTCAGAAATCATGTTTACAGAATGAATCTATAAACTGCACATAGCACAGCCCCACAGCCCCACACACAGGCAAACAATACTTTACAACTCACGAAATCTAGTATACTTTTACCTGACTTTCCAAGATGGTGAGCTTGATAAGGGCTTCTTATACCTACAGGAGGTGGTAGTGACAGCTAATAATCACCTCTATTTTCTGTTAAGAAGTAATAGCTTTGATGGTGGTTCCCATCTGTAATCACTGCTGCTCTAGGATACAGAGTGAGACTCTGTCTAAAACAACCCAAAACATAAAACAAAAGCCAATCTATTTTCTAATAATATCTAACTACAGCAGCTGTTTCCAAACTTCTAACGGAGACACCCTAAAAACTTGTTTAAAAAAAGAAATTCCCCAGGTCTCCCCCAGTACTATTAAATTAATCAGCACATTAGAGCCTGGTCTATCACATATATTTTGTTTTTGTTAGCTTTGAAAGGTCTTGCTATGTAAGTCAGGCAAGCCTTAAACCTGACTAAGCCTCCTGAATGTACAGAATTCAGGCATTGTCAAGCATGCCTGGCACGTTCTCTTTCTCTCTCTCATATATATAGACACACATATAAACAAAATACTCATTATATAAGAATCCTATATGATTCTTAAAAGTATTGCCTGACACCTATCTACAGATCAACATTTAAAAGCAATGATCTAAAGAACAGACAGATAAATCTAGAGATTTAAGTTAAAGCAGTATCTCCACCATTTTGTATTAAGAGAGGAAGAAATAACACTGGAATATTAGACAATAAAATATATTTCATTAGGAAATATAAACTACAACAATGTTAATATCTTGAGCGCCATAAAATTATAAATACTTGGAGCCTGGAGCTGTGGTCCCCTCTTGTGAGCTAGAGTTATGGTCTACTGCTGTGAACAGGAGCAGTGGTCCCCTCTTGTGAGCTGGAGCTCTAGAGCCCTCCTAATAACCCTGACCTTCAGCAGGAGCTGTGATCTTGTCTTGGGAGCTAACTGGAGCAGTAGTCCCCTCTGAGCTGAATCCGTGGTCCCTCCCTGTGTGCTGGAACTGTGGTCCGATCTAGTAGTTTGAGCAGTAGCCCCTCACCCCATGAGCCAGAGCCATGTGGTCCCCTCACATGAGCCTAAAACTTTGGACCCTACCGCGAGCCATGGTCCCACATTCTTCTGGTGGTAGACTGATGGTGGAGCAGAGTAGAGCATGGAGGAATTCCTGATGTCGGGCCACAGTTTTACTCTTCTCAAGCAAGTACATTCCCTGCAGCCCCCTCTCCTGAGGTCCCAGGTTGTGCATGGCAGAGCCTTTGCCACTTATGATGGAAACAAGGGAGGCCTTATTCTCTGTAATGGACCTCCCTTGCCCCCCTGAGGCCCTACTGTGGTCCTCACTCCACATGAGATCTTGGGGATTCAGACCTTGATGTTCGACCTCTTCCACTGCCAGGCACCAGGAGGTTTTCCATTATTTTTCTATTACTCTTCCATAGCTTTAGTATGCCTTCAACTATTCCCTAATTAAACTTCTAGAAATAAAAATCACAGTATGGGAAATTAAAAAAAAATACTGTAAAAACTAAACTGATGTAATTCTCAAACTGAATCTAAGAAACTATCTTATAATACATATTTGAAATTCTATATATCTACCACAATTTTAGACTATTATTACTGACAAAACTGTACTACCAAGCTTCAGCAATAATGTGAAATTTGTCACTGTCCCTATAATCAGAGTTTGCCATTCATTTCCTTTCCAAATTCTCCAACCTATACAAAGTCTTTCAATGGAATCATATTACTTCTTTAAAATGTAATGCTAATAAAGTACTTTTAGATTTAAAAAAGAAAAAAAATGTACTTGGGAGTCTATATAAATGGAAGGGTTAAGTAAGCAGATACATGTTTTTCAACAAACATCAACCTCTATGTGCCAGGCCGTATGAAGACACTATAAAAAAGGAGGAAGAAGGGTGGGGTGGGGGAAGCATCTATATTCAAGTAGCTTCTCAGATGCAGGGCAAAAACCAGAAAAACAATACACAGCCTTCAAGAACAGGTTCAATGATGGAGATGCACTAACAGTAGAGACCTGAAAAGCATCAAAATCAAACTGAAAGCTGTGCATGTTGACAGGGAGAGAAAGCACGAAGAGGATTTAATTTTGAACAAATTTCTTCCATTTATTATTCATTTACTTACTTACACAAGTACTATAGTTCACATACACTAAAGAGAAGACATTTTCCCAGTCCTGAACATTGTCAATTAATTTTACTTCACTAATTTAACAATACTATTAATTTAGACTAAACCCATGAGGAAAGATTTCATCATCAAATATAATTTTAAATTTCTAAAAATAATACAAATGATACATATTTCCTCACTTGATTTTGGCATTTCATTATAATCCCTAGCATTCTTTCTACAACACAAAAGGGAATTTCTCATTCATATTTTGTTACAGTGTCTTCCAGGGAAACTATGTACCATGATTTATTAAGTTGTTCTTCCATTCTGACTATAAATAATAGTGCTCGCACATACCTTTCTTTATACATGTAGGAGACACCTGTAAAACAAATTCTTAGAGATAGAACTCCTGCACTGAAGAGTAATTGTTACTCTGAGAGAATTTGCTTAAATTATCACTTCTACCTCTGCTAGTAAATCAAAAGTACCTTTTCCTCATATTATGTCAATACAGTATGTCATATATTTTGATTTCTTTTTGCAATATGAAGGTACCTTATTGTAGCTTTATTTTCATTTAATTACAAATGAAGTTGAGTATTTTTTCTCATTTGTTTAAGAGCCTTGACCTTACTGAAAGGATCAAATGAAAGTTGCCTGCAAAGTTGAAGAGATAATTAAAAAGGAAACTAGACAGAAACAAGAACACACATTAAAATACCATGAAGGAACTTCAGGTCAATATATGTGGCTTATGTGATACATATTTGAGGCACAACGAGGGTAGCTTTGCTTAAGAGAACAGTTAGCAACCGAGCTGAGAAATTTAATAATTATCTTGATCCCCACTAAGTTTTAGTAAAGAATTTTAAGAGCCTGAACAATCAAATTACAGAAAGTACTTGCAAGTAGTCTAGAAACCTATGACAATGAAATCCAGTATTTCTATTATATTTACATAAATAAGATGGAAGAAACAATTCTTATGTTTACTATTTGTAATAGTCTACATTTTTTATTCTTTTTGAAAACGTCTGTAGAAAAATTTAGAAGAATTTTAGATTAGCAAGAAACAGGTAGGAAACAAGAAAACTAATTAAATAACCTTACTATTCCAAAAAAAGACCTATGTTATTGAAGCTGAGATATTAAGGTCAGGAAAATTGGGAGTGGTAACTTCATTGTTTTTACCAAGAAAAGGAAATGAGGGCATACATATTATTAACAGACACTCCACTGGATTAAAATCAACATAAAGCTGGGCATGGTGGCACAAGCCTTTAATCCCAGCACTCAGAAGCAGGGGCAGTTGGATCTCTGTGAGATCGATTCCAGTCTGGCCTATACAGTGAATTCCAGGCCAGCTGGAGCTATGGGGAGACCCTGTCTCAAAAATAAATAATCAACATAAAAGGGGGAAATTTTTGTTGAGGGCTGGTCTTATTCCTTTCACACAGATATAACAAGAGTTATGCAGAGAAATTTTTTTATATAGTTGGCAATACTCCTGCATTAAGTAACACACACACACCCACACCCATATATACATTGTGACATAAAGGAACTTTGTTCCAAGGAAATTAGCTGATCAATATACAACTCTATATAGTCATCAGAGCTCAGGGATTAGTATTTAGTATTATACTAATAGCCTTTTGAATTCTAGCATTTCTACAGTAAAATGAGAACTGCATATTTACACATTTTCTGTCCCTGCAACTAGTTAGTGGATATGGACCTCTAAATGACTCTAAGAACTTATTAGTCCAACAGGTAGCATATAATGGCTGGCTGAACTTACACATATCTTATGGAAAACTGCAACTGAAAAACACCCAAGAACAGAAATACTCAAAATTTCAGAAAAACTTCAGAAACAAGAGCGATTCTATTCAGAGTTGTCTTCTCCTTCTTCTTGAAAACAGACATTAAATAAATCCTTTATTATCTGTTCCAAAATAATGAAATAAAGATAAAATGAAGTAGAAAAATCCATAGGAAGTAGCACTTACTTTAAAACTTCCGTATACCCTTTGGCAGCTGCAACATGAAGAGCTGTGCCTCCAGATTTTGCATGCCGAATGTCACTGATGTGCCCACTATTTAACCACTGCCTTGCATCTCTAAGCATTATCCGTTCTTCTTCCTTTCGAGCTGCTTCTATATCAACTCCTGTTGCAAAAAAAAAAAAAAAAAAAAAGGGCATATATATTATTTTCATTTTTCTTAATAGAGAATATTTCTCCTATTTCTGCACAGGGTAATAGAATTATCAATACATTAAGTTAAATGAAAACTAAAAATTAAACGACAGTTTGGAAAACGGTGGTTTAATATGTTAAAGAAATGTGGAATACAACAGATATTTTATTAGCCTTCTCTATCAGTTTTTGCCCCACAAAAGTATTTTGGTTATCTTTTTACTTTTTTGACAATTAGTTTTGTGTTGAAAATCCAAACATTTACCAAG